ATATTTTGAGGCTTCCGTCCAATGACAGACGATAACCTTGGCCTTTACCTTACCTGATTACATTTATTTTAATTTTGATGGTTCATCTTCAGATGGAACAAATGTTCATGTTGGCATCCAAGGACCGTATCAATCGACCACCACAGAAAAAACGAAAACGAGGACACGGATCGAAGATCTGGATTAGCGACCTTACCGTGAGTGATGGATTGACCGACCTATAGGGACGTAGTGATTCGAAAACCATTTTCATTCCAGGACATCGATAAAATCTACAAAGCGTCTGAAATTCGGGACATAATAGCCTCGGCCAATGTATAGAGAAACGACGATTTGCAATTGTTTACATGTTTGTTATTGTACATTAAATTATTGTTTGTTTGATAAATAAGTGTGCCTTTGGTTTTACATACAGTATATCCTGCATATAAGCAAGAGTTAAAATTGTTAATTGTACACTTCTCCTACGAACAAAGCAGATGTTATTAGGTACTGAAAACATATGGATACTGTCGATTTTCAGATCGCCTTTAGCGGGTGCGCTTCGTTGCGCGCATCCGTCAAATCTAGGTCACGCCGCGGCCGTCGCATGCGACGCGTACGCCCGCGATCTTTGACAAACGTCGCAGTTGTCTGTGGGGCATACGATTTGCGCTTGGTTCACAGCAGTCAGCCAGAGGGAAGGTATCACCGACAAATACAAATCATTCGCTCCACTGACACTTGGTGGTACTGCAACGTCATCTTAAGGCCTCAGTGGGATGTGCCGCGCGCGAAGTGGGCAGGGTGACCTACTTTCGACGGAGTTTTGTTTGCTGATCACTTTTGAGCAAGAATTGTTTGTTATTGTAGTTACTTCCTTTCTACTTTCCTTTCGTATTTTAAACTTTTCTTCTGATTTTGCATTAGTCTAGTGTAGGAATCAGCATTCGCGCACCGCGGGGGAGCTGCGCGTTACAGGGGAGATGGGCAATAGGGTCGGTTTCGTGTAATCTCGCCGCACGAGGCTGTCGCGGAACATTCGATTCGCCTTTATTAAAATTTTAATGTTCATCATACATTCCAGTCGATATGCGATCATTATTTCAGGCATGATTCTACTGTTAGTTCTTTTGTTTCTCTACTTCCTGCCTGCCGCTGCAACCTGCTACATTCCTTCTCGCGCGGCGTCGCTCTCGCCGCAACGCGAAATTCGGTCCTATTGCACCACATCCGCGTTACAGGCTTGTCCAGGAGATCTACGGGGATGCTTCTTAATATAGTTGGCGGAAAATGTTCGATTATATAATAAGTACCTTGCGAAACTTGGTTCGGGAAGCGATTCGGTTCGGCGATCAGAACCCACATGGATCACAGAAGCGTGCTCTTTCATCTGTTGAGGAACTAATGGAGATAACCCTTCGATAAAGAATTCAGAGAAATGGATCATCTGACCGAAATGACAAGACGTGCAGCTGGAGAGGGATTGAAACTTCAAATTCTCCTCAGTTCTGTGTTGCTGTAGGAAGGTCATCAGCCCCACCAGCCTATTGCAGACATTGAGAAACCGTAGCTGAGAAAAATTAAAGAAAGCTGATTTTGAGAGCACTTTTGAACTCTTCAACTCCAGAGTAGTAATTTATCCAGTAGTGACAAAATCCTTTACCTCGGACTTTAGTCAACTGGTCTGATGTCCAAGTATTGCCTGCAACCCACAGTCAACATTTCCGTAGCAGCGTTCGCTCTGCAAACTGCATCCATAATAAGAGTTTGAGGTAACCTAATTATTTCTTGGTACGTATTCAGGCTTGAGTGGAGACCTCCTCTGAGAGTAAATCATTGAAATGAGCTAGAAAATAGAACTCTTATGAAAAATCTGTGGAACTGGGCCAGTAACTTAAGCTTACTTTCCGTAATATTGGAAGAAATTCCTCACAAGGTTGGCGATTTATGGACAAAACTTCAGTCTCGCACGAGACTCGAACCCGTCCTTGTCCTTTCCGGGGACCGTGCTCTTAGTCCGTTGTATCTCAACACGTTGTAGGTGTGAGTGCTGATAAGCTATGGCGTATAAGCCATTAAGAAGGCGAGGGCAAGCGGGGTCTCGGTAGTGTAAGGGATAAGAGCACGGTCCCCGGAAAGGACAAGTACGGGTTCGAGTCCAGTCCGAGACTAAAGTTTTGTCCATAAATCGCCAACCTTGTGAGACGTTCGGAACGCGTACTGCGGCGATATAACAGCAGCTAACAAAACATAAAGTCAGAAAGATTCATTCCCCTAGAATGGGCAATCCCAGTTGTCGCCTATCTGCAGCCTTGGGCTGATTGAGATGGTAGTCAAGATCACTACAACATAAGATGAGCTCACATGTAAAATTGTTTTGAATGCTTTCTAAGTAGTCTATATAATCTTTTTTGCAAGAGGAGGAAACGGTGGACCCCTCCTCCGTTATAGAGCGAACATAAGATTTGTAAGCGCTTGAAAGCGTATCGCATTTTTTGTACGGAAGGCTTTGCACAGGGTCAAATAAAAAAAATGGAAACAGATGTCGTGAAAAAACGTTGTTTGAGTACAAAGCAGTAAGCGGGAGTCACCTCCATCATTGGGAAAATGAGCAAGTGACACTAATTTTCTTTGAAATGGTCTTCATCTACTTCGATACAGCTTCGGGAAAGCTCGGCGAAGAGGTAGTCGCTCCAAGCTTTCTGCAGGGCTGCCTTCGAGGAATCGAGGTCGCCATGAGGTTTTGCTCTTCACAGTAACGGAGCTCTGTATGAAAAATTTAAAATTAAGTGATTATCAGTGGTTCCAGTCACAATCAGCCTTTTACTTGTAGCGTTCACTAGCTTCTTTGCCCCACTATTACCAGGAAAAAGACGGTATCACATCAGATTACAAGAACGGAAACACGATTACCAACACTTTCAAAGTTTTCTTCTTGGCCTCAGTCATCGACACTGCTTTTACATAAAGAAAAGACTCTTTTTGTTTTAGCAACTGATACAGAACGAGCAATAATCACGCTGGTCTGGTGATGTCGCCTGCTCCACGAATTCTCGTTTCAGATAACGAAACGCCCCGAATCTTGACCATGGTAGTGATCATTCGAGAACTGTTCACACAACCAAAACTACCTATCCATTCATTATGAGGTATACCTTATGCTTACTTGTTGGTCTCTAGGTATTGAACGTGAAAACCCTTTTAATCCGTTTGTAGGAAAGAAATACTCGGCCTTTTCCCAAGAAGATGCCTCCACGCTACGGTAGACCATCTACTCCCTCAATTGTTGTTGTTCTTACCTGTAATGGCTCCCTTCTAATGACTTCTATTCAAGTCGTCATGCTGTGTGTGCCACCTTTTGTGGCCTGCCGACCGGCCGGCCGGTAGTTGTTCGCTCCTCGCCTGCCAAAACTGATCATTTCTTTCCATTTCGACTGATAGCGATATTACAGCACGCACACACAGAGACAGGGCTGCTAATCTATCATTTGCTTTTGTGCCATCGTAAACACGAAAGAATTTCTCCCACCACCCCATCATTCGTGCGTCGTTCGCTCGATTGTACATCGCGTCACAATCGAAAGAAGGAAGGAAACGAGTAACAAAACGCGACGGTAACCAGTTGAACCAAACCGTGGAGAATTTCCTTGATGTTTCAGTGAATTCGCTTATCCGCCTGCTGACAATGCCGCTCGCAGTCGACTTGGAACAGAATTCGACGAACTCCAATTTGAGTCAAAGCTTGCCATCTCTCATTCAACTCCTCTAGCTCGAGCTCAACCCGTCGTTACCCCTATCTATCACTCAACTACCTACCGTTACGACAGTGTTCAACAGTTCAATGACAGTAACCATGTAAGTCGAGGGTCCCAGCCTTTTCAGCTAGTTATTANGAAAATGTCGAGGTAGTCCTTCGAGAGCTAGAGCAAGGTGCTGCCACTCTGCTCTACAACTCAGGACTAGCTGCCTGTTCTGCTGTGCTGTTGGAGTTTTTGAGTGCCGGCGATCATCTGGTAAGGCAATTTGGACTTTTATTACTCTGAAGTCATTCTGTGTAACCTTCTGATGCTGTAGATCTGCATGAAGCCTATGTACAGTGGTTCCTACTCGTTCATCACGGAAACTCTCATTCGATTCAACGTTTCTGTCGACTTTATTGACGTTGAAAAAGAAGCAGATTTTGTGTCGGCCGTGGAAAAGGCCATTAAAAAGAACACGAAGGTTCGTTATAGAAAAGTAACTGAGTTATTTTCAATAATTGACAACTCCGAGATTAAAACGGGTGAGAAAATCTGTCCATATTTCTCCATGCTTTCAGATGTTCAGGTGATTAAAAGATCGGCTTGTGAATGGAATTAGTTTATAGAAATGCACCTCTACAACAGTTCCCTTCTTACAAGTAATTTATAGCTTGTTTTTAAGATTTAATGCTATTGAGATGTAAGAAATATTTAAATAGGCGGTTCACCTTCAAAAATTAGCGGCACCAAGAGAACCCAGAGCTGATTCGTATGATGGCCAGAATTCTAGCATTAGAGCTGCGCTTACTGTAGTTTTGCTTGTTGAAATAGTAACGGTGGCGCTACCGTAATCGCCACTGACTAATATTGTTTACTGTATTAAAGACTAAAGGAAACACAGAACCTACATTTACCTTTAAGCTATGGCTTCAGGGCCATCAAGGAGATGAGACTTTCCGATGTTTCAGTAGTGTAAGGGATGGAGCCGTCTTGTCTGGAAACCCCATCTAAGCGTTCTATTCCCTCCCGACACCGACGATTTGTCCAGAACTCGCCATCCTTGGAAGTCTTTACATCGCGGCAATAAACAAATAATAATAATAGCAGCGAGTAAAAACATCAAGTCAAAACAATCTAACTTTTCCGCAAATCGGTTAAGAGATCACTAGTTCCTTTAGTTCCTTCCCAAACTCCTACCTTCCCAGATTTTGAGTTCATTTTTTCAAGCGAGGGATTATTCAAAGTGTATAACTTCCTGAAAGAGGAGAATTTGTGAAGTTACCCTATTGAACAGTTTTGTAGAATCGATCGCATTGAGCTACCTAACCACTGACGAAACTGTACGTCACAGTACCTAATCAGTCATCCATGCACTGAGACTCCCAGTTTTGCTGTACGAACTGCATTGCTGCAAAACTGAACTGTGATTTACAACGATGATAAACCTGTAGTTGAACCAGAAAAACTCCTGAATACCAAGTAGTTCAGAGGAACACCTTCGAACGAGCCCGATCTGATTACTTTGCGGTGCTAGTTAAAAGACATGAAATGGATGAAACGGAGTAGGATAAGCCCCATGTAGAAAAATTCTTTTGGAGAAAACCCGTGAAGGGTCTTTGCTGATCTTTGAACGATCGCCAGAATTTTCAGTAGCGAGCAAACCCCTTCCCCTTCTCAACCCTTTTATCCGTTCAGAGAAACCTTCCAAATAGCCATCTGATTACTTTGCGGTGTTAGTTAAAAGACATGGAAATAGATGAAACCGGAGTAGGAAAAACCCATGTAGAAAAATTCTTTTGGAGAAAACCCGCGAAGGGTCTTTGCTGATCTTTGAACGATCGCCAGAATTTTCAGTAGCGAGCAAACCCCTTCCCCTTCTCAACCCTTTTATCCGAAGCTGTAAATGTGTCTCACATTGTGAGCAATGTCTATTGTACGTATGGGTGCGAGGGAGCATCGTAAATGTCTCAATTTTGCTCACCTCAGCGGAACAGAACTCAGAGGACGGCTTTCTTTCGAAACAAACTCCTGAGCACCGATTGATAGAAACGGCTTCCCTCACGTTCGATACCTACCTAAGGATAGGGGTTGTGGGAGGGAGCTCCAAAAGGTTTCTGAAGCCTCGACCAAGATAGTTTCCTGTTTCAATCAAACACCCTTGTGGCCTTCGTCAGGACCTGGAAACAATATGTGAATCAGGTTCATCCTTTAGGTTTCCCCCTCTAAATCAAGGAAGGTGGTGTAGGAGCAAGTGTCGCACCAAGACACGCGCGCCACCCAGAGATCGAATCCTGGATCAGTATCTGTTAAGCCAACTTTACCTTCATCTCTCCGGGTTTCGTTAATAGGTACCATAGACGCCTGGGAGGATAAAGGAGGTGAATTGTACATCGGCTAGCCACCGCAAGTCATTGCCTGAGCCACATAAGCATTTGAAAAACGCCACTACGATTACGATTCTGATGGAAGTCGAATGGGGCGGGAGGCGGAATGGGAGGACGGGGAATCCCATAAAGAGATTGTTTAATCCAGAACCTTTTCCGCTCAGAGAAATCCCTTTTCGGTAAGATCGTTCTCTTCGTAAGGTTGTCTTATCCTGAGACAGAGGCCAGCAGTCAAAACGCGAGCCCTAATTCAATATAGGTTCGAAGGGTTCTTGTGGTGATCCCGATGAAACGCTCCCTCTTCAAAAAAGACAACATTTCGTACTTACTGATGTTATCTCCCGTCCTGTCACCGATCGATACTGTAGTACTTTTTGCGAAAAACGAAAAAATGGCCACTATTCCAAATGAGGGAGAAGTACGAATTTTATCTGATTGTTTTTGCCGATATACGCTTGTGGGGCTGATAAGCAAAAGGGTGGACTCTCGAATCGAAAAAGTCGTGAGTAACAAAATTCAAGTGGCAGTGAACGATCGCACTTTTGGACACCATATATGGGCCATATAGCCATATTGAGGTCGCCGCTCGTTACGCAATCACAGACCGCGCCACTAACATTACGCCCTAAACCGCACTGAGATAAAGGATAATTGCATGATCCCTAATTGGGCGATTGCTCGCCGCTTCCTTTGCAGAACTGGATCAACTCGAACCTCCTCGATCACCTCCATAATTTTTTTTTTTTTGGGGGGGG